TTGTCTATGATGATTGTAGTGGATTTATACAACCAACCATAACTGTTTTTTTAGTTGAATCAAAGGCTGTTTCCACTTTCCACTTTCCAGTGGAAATGTTTTATTGAAAAAATGGTGTTAGTTGGCGAAATGGCTTTTTTGACTGGAATCTTTGTTTGCCATGCTCTGCACTATCCAAAAATGGGGTGAATAAATTACATTATCACAAAAGCAAACTCATCACTTTCGTTTTTTTACTTTTCATATTCTTTGTTTTATCCTTTTCTTTTCCATAATTGGTCTTTTTCAATTCTTTTTTTTTTTCGTCGTAGAGAAGAAAAACACATAAATACCACTAATAAACAGCCAAAAAAAGCCAAATAAGACAGCTCAAGAGCTGAAGCTAGTGGTGAAAGCATAGATCCTAAAGATCGCCTAGAACCTACACTAGAGCAAATGCATTCACTAACAATATAAAAAACTAACAAGCTCCACAAGTGGAGAATAAAATTCCTCTATGGAAGAATACATGTTCTCCTACAAGAAAAAAACCACAAAACACAAAAACCCAAATCACTAGAAAAACACGAACCCCACAACACAACACTACAAATCTACTCCTCTCCTGCAACACCAAGGGGGTCTTCAGACCTCAACCTCGAATGACAATCAAGAAGGGACCGGGACTACTCGGGACCAATCGTTCAACACCTTTCGCGTCAAAAGACGAGTCTGGGTAAACACAAACCAAACAACAACAAACTACTAAAAAACAAACTAAAAGTGCGCCCTCCTTCGCGACATGATCGCAACTCCACGTCTGCCCCGCCACCAACCACCGAGAAAGGCCACCTGCACGGACAGAAGACCGAGGCAATGCACCGAACCTGAAACTGCAGAAGGCTATCAAAATCCGCAGCCCCAAGCTCCAAACACCTCACCAACCACCGACAGCCCAGAACAACCAACCACCGGAGTTGCAACCCCCACCAGGCACCACCGACACCAACCGACCACCCCACCCCACCCCAGGGGAGCAAGCAAACACAGGAAAAACGAGGGACTAAACTCGGCTCCGACCTCCATTAGGCAGAAATTGGAGCAAAACGATCGACCACACCGTCAAAGGCCAGAACCACCTCGAGCACGAAGAGCTCGCCCAGAGACAAAGACCGCGGCCCCACGAGACTCCACCCGACTGAGAAGACCACCACTCGACGGGAGACTAGACGCACAGGACAAGCGGCGGCCCACTGGGGAGGAGGCCAACGATGAAATCCTTGGCTAGGTTTTTATGTTCACAAATTGGGAAAAACGTCTTTTTCAACTCATTGACTACTTCATTCAAGTTTGGAGATTATGCTTCTATTTTTTTTTCTTTTCCTTTTGTTTTTGTTTGCCTTCTCTTTCTATTCCTAAAGGGACTTGTGTTTAGTGCTGTTAAATTAAACGAATTTGGCTCAACTCGGCTCGAGCTCAGCTTGTTAAGGCTCGAGTTCGAGGCCTTAACGAGCTGAGCTTGAGCTCATTTAAAGCTCGTTTGGTTAACGAGTCGAGCTGAGCTCGGCTTGTTAAGGCTCGAGTTCGAGGCCTTAACGAGCTGAGCTTGAGCTCATTTAAAGCTCGTTTGGTTAACGAGTCGAGCTGAGCTCGGCTCGATAAGGCTCGAAAAGAAAATTTTTATAAAAAAATTTATAGTTCAACTCGTTAAAACTCGAGATTTAGTCGTTAAAGCTCGAACTCGAAACCTTAACGGGCCGAGCTCGAGCTCGCATTTTTGCTCGTTTATTTAACGAGTCGAGGGCTCGAGCTTACTTTTTTGCTTGTTAGCTCGGCTCATTAAAAACTCGAACTCGAACTCAAGCACCTTAAGCTCGATTTCGGCTCAACTAGTTTACAGCCTTACTTGTGTTATATGGTATTTCTCATCTTCAGAGCAGTGGGAATGCAGTTAGGAAAATTTAAATAATAATTAGGCAATTATAACTTTTTAATAGATATATATACTTTTAAACTAATATATTCTATTTCAACTCATTGTTCTTGATTTTTATTCCATTTAGTGCTTGTGTGTGCGTTTTGGTATATTACTATTTTGGTTTTCTAACCATGTGTGCGCACGTGCGCACTTACATATGCGCACCTTTTATTAGTTATAATAATATAATATAATTATAATCTTCAATTGCTTGATAACCCCAGTTTTATGGGTTAAGTAAATAAGTTTTAATGGCTTTAATTAGTGAGCTAAAGCATGTTTTCCTTATGTTTAGATCTAATTTATAGTCCTTTTTATTAATTTTCAGAGGTTAGGGGAGAAATGATTAAATAGTAAATTCCCTTAATCCAAGTAACACGGGATTTTTTTCGGAATAAATAAAATGAAACGGGAACGCAACTTCTGTAAACAGATATTGATAAAGAAATAATAACATGAAACAATGAAAAATGCACAAATTCTTGTATCATGCCGTGCTATAGTTTTCTAACAAAATACATATCTATGCTTCAAAATATTATATTTGTATTTATGTTGATTTTTAGATTATGACATTTAGCTTGTGTTTGTTGAAAAAGTATTGCTGTGTAATCTTTAAGCCTTCATAAAAACAGACTTACAATTAAAAATATGAGA